AAACAAGGCAAGAAAAAAAGCCTTTTGACACCTTTTTAAGCCCCCACATGCTCAAAGTGAAGTCTGTTTTGAGTAAAGATAATATTAGCCGGAATAATAATAGGAAGACGCCTTTTCTCTGCCCACACTCGTGGACGGGTCGTTAAGGATTTCTGTGTAATATCAGACAAAACCCAAAGCCAAACCAGGACCGAACCCCGAACGCTCATCTGCTCGTATTCTAGGGCTGAATAGCCCCTGATTTAGGGCTTTTTAGGAGGATGAATGGTTATCAGAGGAGGAGAAGCGGCCTGATAAGGCGCCTGTTCTTTGTTATCCTCCATAGCGGCGCCCACACAAACTTCCCTCCATCTAAGGAGGAGAAAACCTGCTTTTTTAACTAAAAAGAGAGCATTTAAAACCGATTATTGGGGGTTTTCTGTCTGTTTTTTGGAGCTTCCTGTCCAAAGGTGATGGTAAATGTTTTTAAAAAAGGCCCAAAATTAGACTTTAAGTTCTCCGCCATCATGAAGGAGGAGATTTACAGGCCTACGACAATAATCGCAATAATCTGGTTAAAAAGGTTTGGAAAACTAAGAGGAAACCAGGTCTCTGTGTAGCTGTTTCACACTGAAAAAAATTGTATTGTCTGTTATTTTATGAATTTATTAGACTCTGTGAAGGCTCCACATTTTTCATTAAAGCTTGTATAAGTTTTAAAAAAGGCACGATGGATCTGTACATATACATAGTTATATTTATAACTACAACGTTCCTCTTCTGTATATTTGAGGCTGTTTTATTTGGGTTTGACAATCAATTAATTTGTTCCTCTCATCTTATTTGAATGTTTAATAAAGATGGTTAACTAAAAAAGATGGTTATAAGTTTTGAATGGCTGTCTATGGTGACACTTTTACAATAAAGAACATTTTTGAGCTACTAAAATCATGTAAAAATACAGTTATTAAACAGTAAAATAGCAATTACTACACTTCAAAGTGATTTTTATTGTCTAAATTCGCAATAATCTATCTGGAGAGGACAGAGCTGATAACTATTTAGAAAACGAGTCCAGTTTTCTGCGTTTGTGACAGAATCCCGTCCCATAAAACAGCCGTTAGCTAACCGGTACGAGATCCAGCGCCGGGATCCCGACGTGTCGGCTCTAATGGGATTAGAGGATCGGGATTTTGGGGCTTATTAGGATCTGGTGGCTGAGGCTATTTCAAACACACGGTGGCTCAGCGGTAATTGGCCGCGTGTTTATGGTGCAGTAGTTTTCTAGGCCACTACCATCACCTCCAATCTGCCTAAACCGCCTCAGACTGAAGCCCACCTGCACGCTTAGCGGAACCACAAACGCACAGCTCTGCTCCACAGGCTGATATCCTCCATCCATCATCACATTTTGATGTAAAAAACAACATTATTTGATTATTTTTTTAATAACGGGCCTGAAAAACTCGGTTTAAACGGACAGAGTTTGTTAAAAGCGGCACTTAGTGGGCAGCACAACATTTTAGAGGCTAACTGAAAGCGTGGTGGCCAGAGGAGGAAGTGTGTGTGTGTGTGTGTGTGTGTGTGTGTGTGTGTGTGTGTGTTTAGAAACTAGAAAGAGGAAGTGAGATCTGCAAAGGCGTCGGGGGGGGGGGGGAGCACGGCCCCACGTGCACACGCTCAAACCGCTTCAACAACAACAACACAACAACTTCCAGGGCTTCTTATAACAGCAAACAAAACAACAACAACAACACAACAACTTCCTGGGCTTCTTTAACATAAAACAAAACAACAACAACACAACAACTTCCAAGGCTTCTCTTAACAAATTTAAAAAAAAATTAAATTATTGACTTTATCACTATAAATTATTTTAGACACATATATATATATATATATATATATATATATATATATACATACATATAGTTACTTATGTATATATTTATTTATATTTCTGTGTCGAATTTTGTGTGTGTGTATATATATGTATATGCTGTTGTTTTATTTTATTTCTGGAGTAAGTAACAAAAATAATTTCCGTCTGGGATTGTTAAAGTATTTCGGATTCTGATTCTGAACAACACAACAACTTCCACGGCTTCTTCTAAAAGCAAGCAACCTAAGAAACAAACTTTAAAAGCACGTTTGATTCAAGGTTACATCTCAAGTCCCCACCAAGTAACGATGAACAACCAGTGAGCAGAGCAGGGAGCCAAAGAAATGTCTCAGAGACCTCAAACCTCATCAGATAAAGACAAAACACTAAACCTGATCTACACACAGACCTCATAAAGCGGTGTGTGTGTGTGGGGGGGGGGGGGGATAGCGGCCTCGTATCCGGGCGGCTAGCCCGTTTTTTAATTTCCCCCAAAGCAATTATCTGAGAAAATGTGATTTCCTGTTAGAAAAATACGCATAAGCAATTCCTCCCAAACTGCA